GCATAAGGGGTACTTTTTTTTTTTCATTTTTATTTCTTGATGATAAATAAATTTATTAATCAAACTTATTCAACTGAAAGTCAATTGAAACTTAAAATGTTTTATTCTATTAACACAAATTTTGTTCAACATATTAAGTTCTTCATTCTGTTGGGTTAAAATTCAAACCTAAACATTTTGCTTGTAAGCATTGCAACTTTATCCACAAATTAATTTTCAATATTTAGTTTTTAATTACAATGTAAACTGATAAAGTGTTTATGAACTAAAAAAAAAAAACCAAAGAGTTCATTCAGCAAAAGTGTAGATAGTCAATTCCTTACTTCAAAACTTAAACTAATTATTTTTTGAAAGATATTTTAATAGCACATGCTTACTTACTATAAACAGCTTTCGATAAAATGTATATTATGAAAATAAATTCAACCTTTTTTTTCTCGATTATATGTAAAATATTCTAGTTACAAGCATTGACCTATTGAAAATTTTAGAAATAAATTAACTAGGAAATGAATAATTTTTTTTTCTTTTAAAAAACATTTAAAATATTGTTTTAAAAAATAATAGTGTATTTACTCATTTAAGTACTCATCATAGTATTTTACTCTTGTATATTTACTCATGTCCTTTTAAAATAATTTTGTGACACTTATTAATATCCGTATACGTAACAACAATTTGGTTTTTATAATTTAAAATAAGCGAAAAAATAAAGAGAATTTATAAAAAGGTTTTCTCTAAATTTTCTCTATCTTTTTTTTTTTTTTTTAAAGTTTGTAATGTTATTTTCCATATTTTCTCCTATGTTAATTTTTTTTAAAGGAACATTAAGGTAAAATTTACAAAAGAAAAATTACTTCAGATTAGTTTCATAAAAAATAGACTTGTGAAAATTTGTTGTAAAAAGGAGCTATAAAAGTTAGGATATTAATATTTGACTAAAGTGTGAAGTGTGTTTAGTTAAATAAAAATCCGAAATTTTTTTATTCTTATAAAACATTTATCCTAATACTGATTCTTCAATTTGGTTGCATAAATTTTATGATTTATTAGAAGTTTTCCTGTATTAACTTTTTAAATGAAATTTTCAATTCACAAGTAGGGCAAAAATTTGTTATTGGAGATATTTTAGTATGCATAAGGGGTACTTTTTTTTCAACAGTGAAATATATCTTTTTTAAACTAATTAATGCTGTAAAATAATCAGTATTTCATTACCCTGCATTTTTCTGTTAGGTTAGGGGGTTTTGTTATGCTGATTTATTTCTATGGGGTCTCTAGATGTTCCAAGCCTACTGAACTCATTTCCAAACAGTCATTCTTTGCCTTTCATTTAACTTATTTCTTTCTAATAGATTTATTTTCAATAAGCATACTAATTTTTGCATGCTAATTTTTGCACTGTGGCCCATGTTATAACTGTGAAATTATTTTTTTTCTCTTAGCCCCCTTTTTTTTCCACTAATGTAATTTGTAATAATTTTTCTGCATTTAAACCTACAGTTAATGTTATTTTTAAAAACGAAGAGGGGGAAAATAAAGTTAGCTATAACTATGCTTAAATGTAATATTATTTATTTATTCAATGCTAGTTTGAAATAAATGTTAACTTGTATGTTTCATACATATATAATAGGATAAAATACAATTTTATGAAGAAAAAATTAGATCATTCTGTTTAAGCATGAATACTGTAATTTATTTTTGTTCAATAAATTAAGAAATATTAAACACATTTGAAAAGTTTTTTTTGCAAGCATCTTTTATAACATTTTAAAATAAATATATTATAGAATTTGTAAACAATTTAGTAAGCAGTCATAAAAATCGTTATGATTCAAACATTATA